GAGTCTGATACTTGCCATTAAGAAACGATCTATGAAATTCCATTAAATGATTTGATGTTAATTCATTTCTGGTAAGATTTATCGTTGATAACAATTTATTAATGTACTCAGATTTTGCCTATTACTATTTTCACTATTAGGTAATAAAATCTAATCATCAAACCTGTTGGAATTCAATATTGTGTTCCTTCCAAAAAGTATGATTAAAATCATAAATTTGTTGCTCTAACATTTGTAACTTCGATTCCTATGAAAATAACATAATCTACATGCTACAGATGTGTGCAAAATCTTCTGAAAAAATACATACAGCATTATACATAAGTATATACATATTACATATATATCAAAATGACAGAAATTACAGCATGATTGCTAGGTGGTCTCATTTTCACGAGGATTAGGTTAGATTTTTCATCTGGTTTCCCAATCAATCGATAAGTCTGAGATGAATAATACCTCCCAATAACTCGAAAAGACAGGACTAGTACTCCTCTACTGGAAGCCATTTTGAATGTTGGGTGTGGCCAACACGTGTGACTAGCTGAGCTGAGGAGGATGAGTGTTAGAGGTGTTTGGGTGATTGGTACCAGTTCACCAAAAGGAACAGATACTGGAGACACTACCAGTAGCATTAACAAAGTTAAGACAGAAGGAACAGTTCTATTTTCAAGGTATTTATTCATGTATTCAAAGTATTCATTTCATGTTGTGGCTCCCTGTCAGATCAATGCTAGTGTGCTGGGAGGGGAAGGAGGAGGAGGAGAGACTGCTAATACTTCACAGAAAATATCAGTCCCTGCACAACCTCCACTTAATAACATGTAATGAATAAATGTGTACATACATGTATACATATACATAGAGCTGTTGCACGGATGTAATCAACGGGGTAGGTGGAGCTTCCTGTCGGCCATCTTGAGTGGCAAGAATGTACACGCAATGAATGGAGGAATGGAAACAAACTGCGATTTTTCATCAAAGAGATATCATACTTCGCTGCAGAATATTATAGAGACTTCTTTACTCAATATCTTCATCTCCTATCTTGCATTAGCCTGGAATGTCAACTGCAGAATTTATTTAATTTTTTTTCTCCGTTCCCCCATTCATTCTTGGCCTTCTTGCCACCCAACATGGCGGACAATTTAGCTCAATTTTAGCCACACCCTCCCGTTGATTACTTCCGTGCAACAGCTCTATTGTACTTGTGCTTGTAAGATACAATGTAGAACATGTACATGTACATAGTAATAATAATGATAAATTAAGCTTGCATCTGTACAATGGGCTTTCCTACAAGGCTTTTGGAGCAACTTTTCACATTTGTAAAAAAATCCAATTTTGATTGGAATCAGCTTAAAATTTCTACACAACATACATGTATGTATTTGTTTGTAAACATGAATTCTTAGTTTTATAAATAATGTTACGCATGTACTAAATACACATGTACATGTACAAAGTACAAAGTAGTTACACATGTACAATTTTATTTGAGCATTTAAACCAATAATGTACATGTGCATCTGCATGTACCTGACTACCTGTACTTTGTAATTACATGTACATGTACCTGTACGTGTATGATATTAAGTTTCTGTATCTCTGTCTTTTACATTGTTGCTACTTTTAAACTTTCCTTCTTCCCCCCCAGACTTAATTGGTGTAGGAGGAGAGCAAGTCTCAAACACTAACACAAGGAAACCTTTATTCCCCATTCAAAGTGTTGCCGAGGACTCTACCGGACTATCAGAGACCGACAGTCAATCAACACTGGACCTACCACCACCTCCTCCAAGAATGAGACACTTAATAGCCTGTGAGGAGGAAGGTGAATCAGACGAGGTCATCGTTGATGGCATGAGGTCACAGTCCCCACTACCAAGCCCATGGTCTCGCCGCCTCCTCTCCGCCCATAGCTCCCCTAACCTGGCAAAGAGCGTTAGTAGGAGTGACTTTAGTGATGAAGAGGATGATGATGATATAATGGACCTGTCCACTGTCCCACGTTCCCATCCAACCCACCCCTCCCCTCTTGCCTCCCCTCACTTATCTTACTCTCGTCTCTCCCCCACTCACAGTCAAGGCTATAGCTCTGACGAGGAGTCACTCTCGCACACTCTCTTGTATGATGGACGTCGTAAATGCTCGAGCAAAAGGATCCGTTATAACAAGGCGCTCCATCCTCTTGTGAGGGTTGATAGTGCTAGCAGTGACGACGGCTCATTCAATGACCAACGCTTGCGTCATAGTCTACCAAAATTTG